GAGAAGAGGATAATCGTACTTCTTCAGCTATGGTAAACTGCTGATGACACACGGGTCCATTCCAGTTCGAAAGGACCCAGTCCAGGAAGAGTTTTTCTCGTTAATATTTCGGTTTTAATATATTCTTTTGATGAATAATAATGGTATTATTTAAAAATTAATTTTTACCACTCAATCCAAGAAACGTACATCTTCAGCTTATGGTAAACTGCCTGATGGACACATGCCATCAGTTCCGAAAGGACCCAGTCCAGGAGAGTTTTCTCGTTTATATTTCGGTTTTATATTTTCTTTGGATGATGAATAATGTTATTTAAAAATTAATTTTACCCCAAATCGAATAAACGTACTTCTTCAGCTAAAGGTAAACTGCTGATGGACACACGCCATCCTGTTCGAAAGGACCAAGTCCGGGAAGGTTTTCTCGTTATATTTCGGTTTTAAATATATTCTCTGTAATGATAATAATTGTTAATTTAAAAAAATTAAATTTTTCCCCTCAATCCAAGAAACGTACATCTTCAGCTATATGTAAACTGCTGATGGACACATGCCATCCAGTTGAAAAGAACCCAGTCCAGGAGAGTTTTTCCTCGTTTATTTTCGGTTTTTAATATTTTCTTCTTGGATGAAATAATAATGTTATTTAAAATTAATTTTTACCGCCCAATCGAATAAACGTACTTCTTCAGCTTATGGTAAACTGCTGATGGACACATGCTATCCTGTTCGAAAGGACCCAGTCCAGGAGGGCATCCTCGTTATATTTCTACTTCATTCAATAGAAAAAAAAAAAAAAAATAAAATGTTATTAAAAAATTAAATTTTTACCCCTAAAGTCCAAGAAACTACTTCTTCAGCTAATTTTAAACTGCTGATGGACACTGCCATCCAGTTCGAAAGGACCAGTCCAGGAGAGTTTCTCGTTATATTTCGGTTTAATTATTTTCTTTTGATGATAATATAAATGTTATTTAAATTAATTTTTTACCCGCCAAATCGAATAAACGTACTTCTTCATTCAGCTTATGGTAAACTGCTGATGGGACACATGCCATCCAGTTCGAAAGGACCCAGTCCAGGAGGGCATCCTCGTTTGATTTCGGTTTTAATATATTCTCCTTGATGATATAATGTATTTTAAAAAATTAATTTTTACCCCTCAATCCAAGAAACGTACATCTTCAGCTTATGGTAAAACTGCTGATGGACACATGCCATCCAGTTAGAAAGGACACAGTCCAGGAGAGTTTTCTCGTTAGTATTTCGGTTTTAATATTTTTTAGTATAAAAAAAAAAAAAAAATGTTTATTATAAAAAATTAATTTTTACCCCCCAAAATCGAATAAACGTACTTCTTCAGCTTATGTAAAATGCTGATGGACATCACGGCCATCTCTGTTCGAAAAGGAACGCCAGTCAGGAAGGATCTTCGTTATTTTTCGGTTTTAATATATTGCTTTGATGATAATAATGTTATTTAAAAAAATTAATTTTTTACCCGCTCAAATCCAAGAAACGTACATCTTCAGCTAATGTTAAACTGTGATGGACACATGCCATCGCCTTCGAAAAGGACCCAAGTCCAGAGAGTTTTCTCCGTTTATATTTGGTTTTTAATAATTTTCTTTTGATGATAATAATGTTATTTAAAAATTATTTTTAACCCCCAAAATCGAATAAACGTACTTCTTCAGCTTAAATGGTAAACTGCTGATTGACACATGCCATCCAGTTTTAAAGGACCCAGTCCAGGAGGGCATCCTCGTTATATTTCGGTTTTAATATATTCTCTTGATGATAAAACTGTAGTATTTAAAAAAAATTAATTTTTACCCCTCAATCCAAGAAACGTACATCTTCAGCTTTATGGTAAACTGCTGATGGACACATGCCATCCAGTTCGAAAGGACCCAGCCAGGAAGAGTTTTCTCGTTATATTCGGTTTTAATATTTTCTTTTGATGATAATAATCGTTATTTAAAAATTAATTTTTACCCCCAAATCGAATAAACGTACTTCTTCAGCTTATGGTAACTGCTGATGGAAACATGCCATCCTGTTCAAAAGTACCCAGTCCAGGAGGGCATCCTCGTTATATTTCGGTTTAAACATTCTCTTGAATGATAATAATGTTATTTAAAAGATTAATTTTTTACCCCTCAATCCAAGAAACGTACATCTTCAGGCTTATGGTAAACTGCTGATGGGACACATGCCATCCAGTTCGAAAGGACCCAGTCCAGGAGAGTTTTCTCGTTATAGTTTCGGGTTTTAATATTTTCCTTTTGATGATAATATGTTAATTTAAAAATTAATTTTTACGCCCCAAATCGAAATAAACGTACTCCTTCAGCTTATGGTAAACTGCTGATGGACACATTCCATCCGGTTCGAAAGGAACCAGTCCAGGAGAGTTTTTCGTTATATTTCGGTTTTTATATATTCTTTTGATGATAATAATGTTATTTAAAAATTATTTTTTACCCCTCAATCCAATAAACGTACTTCTTAAGCTTAATGTTAACTGCTGATGGACATATCCCATCCAGTTCGAAAGGACCCAGCTCGCAGGAAGTTTTTCTCGTTATAATTCGGTTTTAAATA